ATTGCGTATAGCAGCTACAGAGCATGATCAGGACTACTCAAACTGCACTCACGAGCATCAAGAAGGAATGTAGAAATACGGGAGGAGCATGAAGCAGCTGTCCTTGTAATCTATATAAAATATAACGAATAATAATAAGAATATTAATAAATATACTGACTCACTTGGTCTATTGCTTGTTTGGTATAAAAGTCTCTATCAGTAAATATTTCATTTCCAATGCAAACAAGATTCTGACATTGATCTGATAATAGTATATCTGTACAGAACCCATTATCAATGTAACATCTAGGATGACTTTCAAATGCAAATGTCTCCAACTGATCACAAGTAGTATTCACATCATTATAGAGAGCACTGTTAACAATAGACTGCATCAAACATCTACTAACATTAGTAATCCATGCTTGACCCTAAATTAAAAATAATAACGTGTTTTCCAAAATTCATAACTTAATTACTAAACTAAACAATGAGAAATTCCTGACATGCATGCTGCTATTATTACCATAAATAGTTATAGTCTCATGTAGCAAGACTCTCCCACCTTTTGACTTTTGGATGGCTTTCCAATTTAATTAAAAAGGAGTGGACTGTCTGGCTATGCGAGATTAAAATAGCTAGAATTGAATGAGACTTTACAAGGATAGACTAACAGGGCATTATAATTTTATACCCTTATTGCTCATTCATAACATCATACCAAGGATGGACTAACAGGGCATTACCCTTATTGCTCATTCATAACATCATACTTCCCTCACAAAGATATAACTAATACTATATCAGGTTAATGCATTTCGCTAGTATGGGATAAAACTATCACACTTGATTTAATTAATGCACCCACTATACCAGTATTGAGTGCACGGATTATTTATAGTAATTGGCAAACATAAGCACCCCCTGGAGCATGTACAACCTGAGACATGTAATTATTGCAGCAATAATTGGGGCGAGTACAGTATTTTGGTAGTAAGGATGAAATTTGTAGTATTTTGGCAAATTGACAGTCAATAGTAGCCTACTACAATATTTTCATAGACAATAATTATTAAATATTTTGACAAAATGATAGTTTACGTTAAAGAACAATAGTCTACTACAATATTTCCATACACCATTTCAGTAATGAAATGTAATGGTCAGTAATGATCACAAGTAGTATTTAAATTAATATAGAGAGAAATATTAACAATAGACTACATCAAACATCTAGGAAAATTAGTAATCAATGCCTGACCCTAAATTTAATATGATAATATGCTTTTCCTGAAATTCATAGCTTAATTACTAAACTAAACAACGAAATTCATTATATGCATGTTGCTGCTATCATTGCTATAAATAGTTATAACTGACACTACATTAGAGTAATTGTTTATGCTTTAAATGCATTTCCGTCATTGCCATAAGAAGTTATAACCGATACTATATTAGGCTAATTCTTCATATTATTTAAATGTGCATCTTTCTGTCACAAATAAGGTAATGGGATATAAGCCATTTTGGTAGTAAGGACTGGCGAAATTCATTGTTATTCTGACAGATTGACAGTTTAAATACATTAAACAATAATAACTGTTACTACAATAATTTTATACTTAATTCTATTACTGAATACTACATATGTATAGTCTTGCTGTAGGCAGAGGGCTTGGGTAGCAAGACCAAAACACGTATAGGTATGATGCCATAGTGTGCATGTACTTACTCCAGTTGAGAAGCAACTCGATTCACTGGCATATCTTAGACAATGCTTTCTGCCATAAGCTAGAGGATAATCATTAGCAGTGCACTGGAATTTGGTACTCAAGCAATCATAGAAACTGCAGTCACCATTACTGGCCAGAGCAGAGCAGTTAGTAGTTTGAGCTGTGCATTGATCAGTGATGCACAATAGAATGACAACTGCAGCAGCAATAGTGGGAAAACCAGAAATCATCTTATGACATTAGCTGCAGCCTATAAAGGAAAAAAAACAATAAAGAGGAAGAAAAGGAATGAGATGAGAGTGAGCTGGAAATTTGAAGGAAACAAAAACTAACTGAGTTTAAATAAAAACATGGCAGGAAGTGCTATCACAGGAAGTAGTTTGATTAGCATACTGTGACATGCGGGAGGACTGAAGGATGAGATAGATAAATATTTTAATATAGAAATTGACCTCAAACACACTCCTATGCATGATTTTATTACCTGCTGTGATTGCTGAAGAAACAAAAGTAGCTACGCACCTGTATGCCACCATATATTATCCTTGGACAGTACAACATAGGATCAGTTCAGCAGTCTTTGCCACTTTTACAAATGAATCTTTAAAAACTTTTAAAAAACAAAATTGTGTTCTAAAGCTATTATTACATGACATTATAAAATGACAATTATTATTATTATAGATACAGCTATGAATAATAATTATGTAGAATTCGCAAAATAATATCATAACCACAGAATCAGATTGAAAAATTACATATAGCTGCTATATGGTACTCAGCAGAATGATATTAAATGAGGTAGCAAAAAATTTGCAGTGGAAATTGGAAAACTATCTGTGTAGCCACTTAAATGTACAGTTTTGTTTCTAATAGTGAGTGTATGTCAACTATGTTTGTTCAACCTTATTACTAAGACACAAGTGGACAAAGCTAACAATGAATGTAGCCAGATAGATACAAATAACACTAAAAATAATTATCATTGCCCCATCATGCTATATTGGTAAGTGTTCAACAAAATTTCCTTCACTTAACATTAGTGATTTTTGGGATAATATCAATGCCAATGTGGTATGCAAGCAGCTAGGATATTTTCCTAGCTATGATAACAGTATCATATTTCAAGTATATCTTTATGCTTTGTATTATACAGGTGATTTCAGTTCTAGT